GTTAGTTGCTGATGTTTTGTGTTGGTTTGTTCATTGGTGCAGATAGTTGTGGTTAGAAGTTTTCTCTGTAGGGCTGTTGTTGTTTGTTTCTCCTTCATTTGATGTGTTTTCTTTTCTGGTTCTTTGTGTAGTGGTTCTAAGCTAGGGCCTCTGGCCAGTGGTTTAGATCTTTTGCATGGGGCAAGAAAGAAACCTTCCTTGAGGTCTATGTTTGATCATTAGTCAGGAGAAGGTAACCTTCTTGCAGTCTGTTTTTGTTTTTAGGGATCTTTTAGTGTTCCCCAGAGTCTTAGTTAGACTAATGATTGGGCTATTTAGCCCTTCGATATTGTACATTTCTTGATGCTATAAAATCTATCGTTTAGAAAAAAAAATGGCTTTTTATATGGGTTTCAGATTCGATATAGTTTCAGCCCATATAATAAGTGTCACCTTTTTATATCGGACAATACCACATATAGAAAGTAAACTTTTTATATAGGGTGAATGAATCACCCCATCTAGAAGAGACATCTGGAAAGCCGGATTATAGAATACCCGATATAGAAAATATGTTTTCTATATCGGGTTAATGATCACCCCATATAAAAAAATATCTTTTTATATGGGTTCGAACCCGATATAGAAAATCAGATTCTATGTGTTGTTTTTAAATCGATATAAAAGACATAAGATTCTATGTGTTGTATTTTTTACCGATATATTTTTTTTTAAATCGTACTTATTACCCGATGTAAAAAGTAGATAAATGATCATTTTTTTTACCTGTTTAATTGAAACCAAATGTACCATCAATACAACTAAATAGATAAAAATAAAAGAAATTTACTAAAATTAGTTCATTATCAATAATACCAACAGAGTTTAACATTTCCCAAAAAGCTAACAATACAAGGAAACACAAATAGTTCAACATAAGCTAAATATTTCAAACAAGAGCCTATATAGTCTACTACTTTGCCAATGAGGTGATATCGAGAAAATACTTGGTCCACCGTCTCTGTATATCATCAAATTCCCTTTCAAGTATGCTTCTTCCAAATCAAACACCTAATTGAAAAAAATCATAAATAACAATACATCATGACTAAAAGAACATAATACTTACTACAAGATAGTATAATCTCGATATCTAAAGAGTTTTATTATTATTATCCAAAATTACCATTTAAAATCCATCAACAATGCCGAGTTTTATGATTTCCAGCATATATCTCATAACATAATACCCGCATTCTTCACCTCCTTTTTGTCGATGACACAAATTAAATAAAATAAAAAAATTATATAATAATCAAAACATACAACATATGACCACATCTACTTAGCAAGAATACTGACTGCCACTCTAGACTATTAAAATTATGGAACATGCTCTTGTATATGCATATAAATTCAACATAGAAGAGTTATATTGACTAGTACAATCATAATTACCAAATGAAACCAAGAGATAATGCACTAGTATTACCATAATTACCAAATGAAAAAACACAAACACAGAGGAGTTATATTGACTTTGTTTGAGAAATATATGTGTCTTCGGATAAACCCATGTCGACTTCTTCAGTTTCTGAGTATGGTGTCCCTTCATGACTTTAATTGCATGCTCTAAGTGCCCTGACACGATTATTATATTTAAAATTAAGTGAATCACCACTTTATATACAAGAATATTTGTGTTAGTTAATAATGTATTCATGAAGTATTGTAACAACAGTACTGCTGCATGGGGGAGTACACAAATATTCAACATTTTGGTAGTTTCTACACTATACAGTACAAAATTCAGGAAAATTCAGGTTAATAATTTTTGTGGCATAACTGGCATTTGTAGTGTTTGTACAGTGACAATAAGTGCTCATTTATTGGACCAATTTGAGGTAGGAAATCCTTGGTATTGTAAATGCTACCCTAATTAGAAATATGTTCAACAAAATTAAAATCCCTGCAATTGTATTAACATAAGCATAATATGTTTATTTTGTAAAAGTCGTCCTGTAGTTCAGTAGCTGTATAATGCTTCAGTTATGTTTATGCAGTACAAATAGTTCTCAGTAGTTGCAAACTTTGATCCTATTAATTTCACTTAAGTTAAGATTGCAATTGAAGGTTTATATATTCATAAAAACTTTTATAGTTGTGCAATACTGAGATGTTCTATGTGAATAATTCACAGGACCAAGTTTTCAAATTTGGTTATACAGAAAGTTTATAAGCTAACCAAATAAGCTATAAGCTAATTTATTTGTCTACCAAATATATCCTAAATATATACTGGTGACCAAACAAGTTGGGAGAAATAAAAGAATTTCATAATCAACTAATGACCCTAGTTGTCGTGTTTTTTTTTTTTAATCGTTAAATGTAAATATATAGATCAAAACTAAGTTCAAACAACCGGTTTACGGCATACAAAAGCGATGGGCAACCACAAGTCGGTTCCTCATTCGCGAGATATAGATATACGAGGCCTGTCCATGGAATCTTTTCCATACCTAAACAACCAATCTCCGAGGCCTTTCGGCCACCTCAAAACCTCAATAATCGAGCACCAAAAATGCCTCTCAAAGCCAAAGGCTCCTCCTCTCAAATTCAACAAGCACATTCGGATAAGTAACAAAAATAGTTCGATAAACATGTGTTTTTACCTTGCGAATTACAAGACTTGGGCCTTGGTATTCATTCTCAAACACCAACCGATTTCTAGTATTCCAAATGAATTACACGGTAGCCGCAAGCGCCGCTTTCTTCAACTTGGTTTGCCAACCACTCCCTCTCGCCTCCTTCTTGATCCATTTGAGGGCTCCTTTTAGTGTGGACAGCCTATGTCGGAGGCTAATCCAAGTACAAATCTCCCCCCAAATCTCCAAGCTAAAGGTACATTCAAAGAATAAGTGGCACGAAGATTCATTCGCGGTACCGCATAGAGGGAAAATCGGGTCTTCGTCAAGGAATTCAAGGCGGTCTTTTGTCCGGAGTCTATTAAGTACCCCCAACCATAGGATGAATGAGTGCTTGAGGGTATTGCAAGGCCCCCAAACAACCCCGGTCCATGGCCTTGTGGGTCCTCTAGGTCTTAGGAAGTCGTAGCACTTACTAGACCAGTCTTGTTTATCTCGAGAGCTCCAACCATGAAGAAGAGCTTCCGCTCCTCGTTCACTTCCCGCTTTTTCAACCAAGCCTTGTCGGATTTCGAAGAGGGACTTGAAGAGAGGTGGGTCTTTCGTACCAATTTGCCATTCCCATATGGATCTTCCCTTCGAATAAATGTTATGAATCCATTTGTACCAAAGGGTGTCCTTCTTGGCTTGCATGTTCCAAAGCGTCCGAGTGAGTCACGCTTGGTTCCAAGCTTCCAAGTCCAGGAGACCCAATCCACCTTCCGGTCGTGGTAAGCACAAGCTATCCCATACCACAGGAGCACTTTTCGAGCCCCATAAGAACCTCCTACAAAGTTGGGTGATTTTAGTTCGCACAACACTGGGTAAATGGACGATACTCATCCAAAAGCACTCAATGCCTTGGATAACCGAGCGGATAAGTTCCAATCTACCGGCGTATGAGAGCGCGCGTGTGACCACTCCACCCACTAAGTTGGCTTTCAATTTGGTTGGTCATATCATTAAAGAGCCGGCAGGTGATTCACTCCGCGGTGAGGGGTACCCGAGGTAACGGAATGGATCACTTTCAAAACCTTGGATAGTTGCCGTGTTTTTTAATATATTTAAGGTCGCATGGCCTCTTACTGCTTTTGCATAGGCAATTATGCAAAAAACAAATAATAGAGATGTGATCCAGATTCTCAACAAGTCAATAACAAGTAGAGATCAAGATGACCTTTTTTAAATTCACTTAATATTAATTTAAATATTCATAATAAATACTAATGTTTAACAGCTTTGTAGATGGAAATAATGCAAAAATATAAAGAAAATAAAAATAAGTAAATAAATAATAGAGGCGTGATCTACATCCTCAACAACTCAATAATTTGTAGAGACCCTTCTGAATGTTGTAAGATGGCCTTATTATTTATTATGAAAATAGTGTTCTATTGGATATTTATGGGTATGTGTTAGTTACAATCTAATAAATTCTTACAAAATTACAAACAATTGATAATATAGGTACACTCTATTCATAATCAACTTTCAAGTATTGGTAGTAACTTTAGCTTCAATAAACGAACTAGCATTTTCCTCTAAGATCATATTTTGCCAAATGAATTGGAACAATGATATATATGTACATTTACATCCCCAAGATTTCAAACAGCACAATGTGAGTATGTGATCATGCCATCATGTTATGTTACAGACAATTTTTCCACTAAAACAAATTTAAAATATATATGTTGTGTTGATAACTAATAATGGAGATTTATGCTACAAATTAGATGTTTGAAATTAGCTACTTTTTTTTTTNCAAAAAGTAATTTTAAAAATCTTCAGATAGGAACTTTTTGTAATAAGATGATGGAAAAATACTTATACTTCTAGCAATATTAATATCACATAATATAATTAATATATTTAGAGAATAACAACCTAAAATTGTGTAATTTTACAATAATTGTTTATAAATTAATTTTATTTAACTATTTAAAATAAATTCATTATAAAAATCGATATTAAAAATAAATAAACCTAAAGATATTATTTAATGTTGTAATTTTCATTTAATACTATAAAATTATGTACCAAACACTAACTAACGGGCCCACTATAATCAATAATCAAAATAGCCAATATAATCATTCATCAAATATAATAAGTTATCATCTACTATTAATTAATTCAATCAACTATCAAATATCTTTGGTAATCCTTAAATGTTTGAATTTCCTGTCCTAACTCAATAATGCATGTTTAATTTAAGCCGTTGAATTTCAGTTCCTATAAAGATGGGGTTTTTTCAGCAACATGTGAAGACCACAAAGGAAAGATCAAATTAAGTTATGAGACACATAATAACTTACTGAGAGCAGCAAGAAAAAAATGGCTGCCTTAGTTACCTCATGTTCAACTGGTCCAATGGTGCCTAGAATACAGCTAGGGCCCGATGGTTTGGAGGTTTCCAAAATCGGGCTGGGCTGCGTGGGGATGTCAGCAACCTACGGCCCGCCAAAGCCCGAACCTGATATGATCAAGCTCCTTCACCATGCTGTTGACTTGGGTGTTACGTTTTTCGACACCTCCGATTTTTATGGGCCCCACACCAACGAGATCCTCCTTGGTAAAGTAAGTTCGTGAAATACAGTATAAATAATAGAATAACATTTTATAATAGGAAAATTTGTCCCTAACATCACGGACTTTTATCGAAGTTGCAATTTAGTCATGACATTTTCACTTTTGCAAATTATATCACAATCTTTAGTTTGTTGCAAACAGTCTGAAAACAGTCGTAGAAAAAGCTGATGTGGTCGAACAACAAACTGAAAATTGTGATATAGTTTGCACGTGATATACTGATATGCAAATTGGTGCACCAATTTGTAACAAACTGAAAATTGTGATATAATTTGCAAAAGTGAAAAAAGTCGTGATTAAATTGTAATTTTGAAAAAGGTCAGGCCAATTTTTCCTTTATAATATAATTATTCATTTTTTTAAGAAAGAATGATTATATAACGGTTATGCATCGTTAACAACATTTGCAATCTCTTTTACCTTTTGATGGTACATTTNAAAAACTGTAATGTTTTGAGTCCATGTTTTTGCATATGTATTGGAATCATTATTTTATTTTGTATCATATAATTTTCTTAAGACAATATTCTAGCTTCAGAAAAAAAAAAGATGGAAATGAATCAGTGTTTTCAAGATGCAAAAACATTGTTATATATACCTGCCCAAAGCCTGAATCTTGGTACATCATCTCAAAATATGTTAAACATGAACAACTTTTAGAGTTCTGTCACCAATGCATTTCTGAATTCAGGGCCGGCCCTGGCCCAAGGCGACCTGGGCAACGGCCCAGGGCCCAACTCGTGGGAGGAGAACGGGCCCATATGTTATGCTATGCCTGTATATATATTGCTTTTAGTTTCATGAACTAAGGATAAAAAAAGTGGAGATTTAAGCATTTATTGTCCACAATCTTTTCAACTTTTAGCACACTATCCCACAAGTTCACTTTTTCTATTTTTTATAAAATAGTTCTCTCTGTCACACACACCAAAACCAGCGGGCCTTTTTTATCTCTATCATTGATGTATCCCTCTCGCTTTAAACTTAACTAGGGCGTAGCCCGTACGATGCACGGGATGGTATATTTTCCTTAAATGTTTAAAGTGTGAAATATTAAAAATAATATAATATATATATATAACAAAAATAAATGGATTGCAAAGAAGGGAAAAAAATATAAATTATTGAACACTTTCTTTGTGAAGTAAAATTTGTGAAGCTTTGATATATTTGATTATGAATAAAAAAGTATGAAATACTACCTGCGGACCGTTGAGATAGATGAGAAGATTTACTTAGAATATATAGAATAGATATTGAGATAATGATTTACCTTTTACCTAGTATATATAAAATATATATTGACATGATGTGGAAAAATTATGACGAATTATGACATAAATTCGTTTAGAAGTTAGTAGAAAATATTCAAAAATTAGATTTATTTTTTATTTTTTAAATTCTTACAGTAATTCGTACGCTCCTTTTCATACGCTTAATTTATCAATTTTACACATACAAATCAAAATTAATGCGACTCGAAATATTATATAACAAATAAAATGAGATGTTTTTATCTAACATTTAGTATATTGCCGGAAAATCTTTTATAAATCTTATTCTGCATAGATATTAAAGAATGAGTAAACAAATTATCTAAATATGTTTAAAAGTATCTAATATTATATGTGTTAACAATGTTACAACCAAAAGACATTAAGAATACGTAGACTATTATATAACATATGTGAAAGTATTAAAATATTTTATATTATTATTGAAAAATGTGAAATTACCTCAAGTTTGTCTAGACTATTTTATAAGAAAAATATATATACTTAAAGTTAGCATACACGCACATATATATATATCCTTAAAATTTTCCCAACTAACATGTTTAAAAGTATATACAATTTTATATATAAAAACACATTTAAAGTTTACATATTTTACAAAAATTAGACTGCTCTCAGTTTATATAAAGTTTGTTACTCTCATATTCGGATAACGTATTATGCATTTAATGAAAGCACCCTACGATACAAGTTTATAAATATTAATTAAAATAATTTTCTAAATTATATAAAATTGAAATAACAAAGGTAAATATTACCTGTTCATCATAAAACAGTATATGGAATGCGTTACAGCTCTCCCGTTCGTGATGGGTTTCAATGCGGGGTGCTCTCAGACGCAAAAAAAGTTTGTTTGTTTCGTTAACGGAATCAAGTGTACCCCAACCTAGAAGCATTATATTATTATATTGTATAAAAATTATTCTCTGTATTTTTTTTTCTCTGAACTCGTGAATGATGAGTTTTCTCTGAACTCGTGAATGATGAGTTGTAATGGTGGTAGTAAATATCCTTTTATACAATTTTTTATTAACCAAAAGTGATAAGATAATTATGGATTGCATTTGGATAGATAGTAAGTCCCATGATTTTTGCAACGGACAATCAATTTCACATGCTTAATTAACGGAAATATCACCATTATTAAGGAGAATATCCATTTGCTTAATTAACGCAAATTTCATGCTAATTTAACGAAATATTCACTGCCTTTTCACGATTTTTCTTCCGATTTTAAAGTAGAATACATAAATAGAAAGTCAAAAGTCAACTCAATTATTTTTAGGTTTCTAAAAAAGGATTTTTACATCAACTTTTTTAGATATATATAGATATAGATATCTTAATTAGTGTACAATATCTTTCTAAATTTTGATTAACTAAATTATCAAATTTTAATAATGGGAGTAATTGATATATCATTATTTAAATTACATTTGTTATATTAAATAAAGCGATTAGTCGAAATAAAGTGATTTACTAATAGAAATATAAAATAAAAATTGAAATCTAAGTAACGCGAACTTGATTTACTAATGGACACAGTTATATTAAGAAAAATTGATGTTGATTTGTTATCTACTAAATTATAAAATGTTAATCTCGTGAATAATTAATATCAGACTGAATTTAACATTTATATATAAACTCACAAACACTAAGAGAGATCTCAAACATTAGTCATCACCTGTAGTAAAAACAGAATATGGAAAAATAAGTTAGCTTTGCCTAATTTCACTTCCTTTATTCAAGTAAGCATCAAGTGGAAATTAACAGAATCCCCTGTTTTCCTCATTACACTTACATATATTATTACAGATTCTTGATAAAAAAAATGTTACATGTATCACGTTTTCTCGGGTGAATCTATTCATAAAGAACCTTCTTCATGAGCTAGCTCGTCTAATGAATATACGTACGCCTTGTACAAACTCCAAATTAACCGAATTCAGTTTCCTTGCATATANNNNATTTTTAGTTCTAAATTTGAAACACTTTGATTTGAATCCTATGAAGGCTTTAAGAGGAGGCATGAGAAAAAAAGTGCAGCTAGCTACAAAATTCGGTGTGCGCATGAAGGGTGATAAACTAGATGTTCGCGGGGACCCCACTTATGTTAGGGAAGCTTGCGAAGCCAGTTTGAAACGTCTAAAAACGGATTACATTGATCTCTATTATGTTCACCGTATTGATACTCAAGTTCCGATTGAAGTCACGGTTTGTCTATGTTCTCAATTATAAAGAACTTTTGAAAGTTCTTCTAATTTGTGGCATTATGCTTGTGGTATACAGAAAATAGAAAACTATAAAGAACTAAAATAATAAATTAAGTTATAGAGATATTGAAATATTATAGATAACATCCATGAAACTTAAAAACAGGTTGTCAAAATGAAATACTATAGGATGAACTAAAAGAGATCGTGAAACTTTAAAATTAGATCTGAAAAAAAGAACTAAAAAGATGGAATATTCTCCATCTGATGGAATTAATGTGTTTTTGCAAGATGGGAGAGTTGAAGAGGCTTGTTGAAGAAGGGAAAGTAAAACACGTGGGCCTATCTGAGGCGTCGGCTTCAACGATCAAAAGGGCTCATGCAGTTCATCCGTTAACGGCCGTCGAGACTGAATGGTCCTTATGGACAAGAGATTTGGAAGATGAAATAGTTCCTACTTGCAGGTGCACACTTTATAATATTCTTCTTTTTTTTTTTTCATTTCACATTTAAGATTTTCATACAAATTTTCTCACATCATTTTGCAGAGAGCTCGGCATTGGGATTGTACCATACAGTCCTCTTGGCCGTGGCTTCCTCGCTGCTGGCCCCACTTTCATTCGGAATTTGTCCAAGACTGATTTCCGAAAGGTTGACTATTTATTAAAGTCGAATTGCATATTAATACACCACCTTTCACGTTTTTGCAATTTAATCACAAACTTTAAAATTTTGCAAATTAATGAACCACCTTTACCATTTTTGCAAATCGATACATGGCTGACGGTGCCGTTAACAGAAATCTGACATGACATTGACGTGGTTTAATGCCATGTCAGATTTTCGTTACATTTTTTTCAACGGAACCGTTATTCATGTATCGATTTGCAAAGATGGTAAAGGTGGTGTATTAATTTGTAAAATTTCAAATGTGGTGATTAAATTGCAAAATCATGAAAAGTGGTGTATTAATATGCAATTTTGCCTAACTACCATTTGAGTTTTCATTTATTTCTTTGATGATTACATCTTGACAAACCAATTGAACATCAAATAGAGGTTTCCGAGGTTCAAGCCGGAAAATCTTGACGAGAACGAGAAAATCTACGAACTAATATGTGAAATGGGTAGAGTAAAGGGATGCACGGCTGCACAGCTGGCATTAGCTTGGGTTCTTGGGCAAGGAAATGACGTGTGTCCTATACCGGGCACAACAAAGATAGAGAACCTAAACCAGAATATTCGAGCACTGTGTGTGGAGCTGAGCCCACAAGAGAAAACCGAACTCGAATCCTATGCTTCACCTGACTCGGTTAAGGGCGAGAGGCATGCTTTCATGTCCCACACTTGGTTGAATTCGGACACACCACCGTTGTCCAGCTGGCCGAGTTTGACTCATTCCTACTATGTATAATAATTCAGTTATTATTATTATTGTATATTATGTCTTCCAATTGTTGTGTACTCAATAAGTTTGGTTTTTTGTTTGTACTTCTGTTTAGCAAGTACTGGAATCTGCATTCCATTTAAGACAGACCACAACAGACATGCATGTTGCAAAAATCAATTGTAAGGAAGAATTAATTCTCAATGTAGAGACAATGCCATGTGGAAATCTGAGAAAATAAACAAGAACAAATTGAAGGCTAGGTGTTGCAGGGCCAACATTTTTGAATATCAAAGTGGTAATGAATATCCATGTAGCATGTTCCATCATCATCTATTACCTGANATATATATATATATATATATATATATATATATATATATATATATATATATATATATATATATATATATATATATATATATATATATATATATATATATATATATATATATATATATATATATATATATATATATATACGATGCAAGAACTCAAAATGTCACAAAATGACATATTATATATAAAGAACGCAAATATATTATTCTTGGTAAATATATACTTCGTATGCCGGCCTTCCACAGAGTGTGCTCGTATTTGAGACCCGATACAACATTGTTGGAGACGACAAAGGTGAACTTCAATCGGTATTTAGTTCCCTCCTTTAGCGTGAAAAGGCAAGCTTTTGGACTAGAGATGAAAGGGTGTGATAATACGATTTCGGGCCTGCCCAAGCAAACGATCGATAGCCTCTCTATTTGAACACAAGCCTCGATTCTCCCTCCTTAAAAACACAAATGTGCAAGATATCCAAAGTAATTATTTTAGCTCTAGTTTTGATTAAATTTATAAAAGAATTGCAATATTAATTCAATAGGTAGAATTTTTTTGTCTAGTAAGTTAAAGGGTCTAGTACTATTATTTCTAATTTCCTTTTGCAGTTCAACTTGTTGGAACCAAAATTCTGTACATAAAATCAAAAACTACAATAGTTTTCCATAAATCTATCAAGGTAATTTTAATGATCAATAAATATATATACCTCCAAGATTCGATGTGTTTAATCTTTCAAGGACCCGCTGCTTCCATTTTGGTGTACTTTTTCCACCCTATATATTCAAATGTGAATAAAAATAATATTTTTCTTTTATTGATCCAAGTCAAACAAATATCTAAATACACACATACATAAAGACTGAGAAATAGAGATAAACCTTAACATCTCTATGTGGTTGACCCTTGGGGCCAAGGATAGGACACAAATCTGATGAGTTTTTGGTCTTGGTCAACTTGATATCATCATCATCATCGTCTTCGTGGCGGGAAACTTCTTGCATCTTGGTCCCTTTGCTTTGGCGAATTATACTTTCCGCCCCATCTTTACTTGCCTTCGTTGGCTCTCCCCTTTCCTCTTCTTCCTCCTTTTCGGCCTTTGTCAAAGGATGGACTTTCGACGCAACAAGAGTCTCTACGAATCCTGACATCATTCGAATTTATAATTTCTATTTTTATGTTACGCGCGTAATATATTAATAAAATATTAAATTAGTTGAGAAGAAGCATGAACAAAGAAGGACTTCAGGAAGGAAAGCAAAGAAGCTTTCAATGCATGCAAGAAGAAAATTATTTTACTAAGAAATTTTTGCTCTCTCATAGAGATTCTCCACACTTTGTATGGATAATTAAAGGCTTTTAAAAATAAGAGGTTAAAATTGGGTTGATTAAGGGAAAGTTAGTCAAACAGTCGCCTCCATGCGTCCTTTGCGCCAGGACTGCTATTCTTTAGCTTAACCATTTGTTGTTTCTAAATATTTCTATGTAGTAAAAGTTGAGCACATAATTTTCATGGGATTTTCTACGGTAAATAGTTAATAGAATAAAATCATAATTGTTTCAAATGAATTACACTAATGCAATGCTAGTATATTACATGAAAAAATATATGTTATTAAAAGAAAATTATATGATATGAAATGACCATGTTTTTACTTTTAATTTTGAAATTCTATTTCATATAATGAATAAATAATGGTTCAATTTATAATTGCACAACTTCTTCACAAATCGTTGATAGTTACGCTTATTGATTAGATATATTTAAGCTGTGGATGTGTAGGTAGGGAGTGTTAAATTTTGATTAATATTTGTCTGTGTGCGTGTACCACATACGGGTAATATCTTTTAGTATAAATAGGTTTCTTGTATTTTAGTTATAATTGATATTTATTCTTTTCTCTCATATTTTAGAAGAAAACATTAGTTATGAAAATTTTAAATTGTGGGTTATATAACCGTATTTGTATTTTGTTCGTGAGTTTATTGAATTTGACATTGCAGTTGGTGCACGAAGATGTAGACAATATTGGTCGAACTCCCTATCAATTTTATGTGTTCTTTTTTCTTTCTCGTCTTTTATATATATATATATATATATATATATATATAGGGTCACGCTCCGGTGAGAATGACTCTAAATGCGAGAAATAAGAATAAATCGTGGCCATTAGATCGGATGATCTAATGGCTAAAAAAAGTCAAAATTATCTCATGTATTTTCGTAATTTCTCTTACACAGACCCACCATACACCAACTCATTAATTCTTCTTCCCACAACCAACCCATCAGTGGGACCCACCCCACCCTCTTCACACAACTCACAGAACACACACACAACAAACACGATTGTCTCTCGCACACACACACACACGATTCACACATACACACACATCACGGCCGCCGGCACTTTCTACCGTGGGGTTGCCGTCAATTACCACCGCCGGCCGCCGTCCACATTGTCCCGTTGGAAACCTGCACCACCCTCAGTCACAAGCAGGTGAACCTCCACGTCAATGTCGGTGCGGACTTCGAAAATTGCGGACACGCCGGCGAGGCCCGTTGAAGCGCCGCCGCGACTCCGTCATACACCGGCAACCGGACGCCATCGTCTCCGTCAGTCTTGCTCGAAACCTCCATTAATGGTGGATTAAAAAAAAAAAAAAGCAATCCCCTTTCCACCTCCTTCTCCGACCAGAGAAGACGACCTCGTCCCGACTGCCAACCTCCGTCGACCTCCGTCACCTTGGATCCAGTCCTCTCGTCGGAAATCAGAGTGGACGAATGAGGTCCTGCAACTCGAACCTCGCCATCTCTGATGTGGGAGGAGATGACTCCCGAAACTGAAATTGACTTGTGTGATTTGGACATCTTTTTGAGAATTAAGTCATGTTTAGGGACCTATTTGCAATTTCATCAATTTTAATTAGATTTCAATTTAAACCAAATCTGTAATTATTTAAAGGTAATAAAAAATTGTTTCTTATATATTTTGTTGTGCATATATTAAATAATAAATAAATTATAAACTTAAGACAATGTAAAAATATTAAAACAATATAAAATGTTTTATATTTATAAATAAATTATATAATAAATTTAATAAATAAAAGATTTTTTAATTATTTAAATTATTTCAATGTACAATTATAGCTATTAAATAGTTTTCGAATGCACATTATTTATATGGGAAGGTATAAATTAGTGCATTATATATATAGCGAAATGTTGCACTTTATAAAACAACTCGTTGAACTTTACAAGATGTCATGTTGCACTTTATCAATATAATTAACGTCAACAACTCCCGCAAAAAATGATACACGGTATAAATCTAAAAAACGGTAAATAATAAATAAATTATTAAATAACAATAATGTAAAATACTAAAATAGCATAAAAATATTTTATAGTAATGAGTAAATTATATAATAAAAAATAGTAAATAAAAAGACATTTTAATGATTTAAGTTAATTCAATGTACAATTATATCTATTAAATAGTTTTCAAATACACATAATATACAAAATTAATGCACGTTATATAGCATGATGTTGCAGTTTATATCACAACACGTTGCACTTTACAAGACGCACATTGCACTTTATCAACATAATTAAGTGAGCAACTCCCGCAAAAAATATTACGCGGTATAAATCTAAAAAACATATCTACATAATTGCACTTTATACATCATTATGTTGCACTATATACAGAAATAAATTGCACTTTATAACACGACATGTTACAACTTATAAAACAACACACTACGCGTACCAAAAAATACGGTAATTCTGTTAATCGATCGAATAAATTAATTGGTTAAATGTCGAATTTAGTCTTTTTAAATAAATAAAATAACTGAACATGGCGATTTATATGAAATATATTATCAATTCTTTTTTATTTATAAATTTAATAGAAATTTATACTATTTTTTTTTATATATATATTCTTATATGTATTGCGAATGCACATAATGGATATACTAATTGCACATAAACGTCTACCATATTGCACAAAATCGAACGAGATCCAAAAAACATAAATTCGGTATGAAAATTTATATTTTGTTTCGATTATTATTATTATTATTATTTTATATATCGAGTATTTTCGATACGTTGACATTTTTATATTTAAATCACTAAAATAAAAATCAAACTACATTAAAAATATTAGTATTGTTGTTATTATTATTATTATTATTATTTTGTATACAAATATTAAACTATGATTTTCTATTGAAATATAAAAAAATCAATATATGCTTATAATGAATTATTTTAATTATTTAAGTTAATTAGATGTATAATTATATCTATTAAAATATAATTTTTAAAAATACATAATTTATATGTGATCATATAAAGTAGTGCACTTTATATATCAACGCGATGCACTTTATAAAACAATACATTGCACATTATAAAACAACACGTTGCACTTGATCACTAAAATTCACAATTAACGTTAACAGCTCCTGCCAAAATAGCACACAACATAAATATAAAAAACGGATAAAAATAATACTTTAACATCAATCACATCATTTATTCACATAAAAACACAAGCATGATAATGTACGTAAATTACAGTAGTTAAATTTTATAAATCGTCACGTTGCACTTTATAATACAACACATTGCACTTTACAAAACGACAAGTTGCACTTTATTGCGACGAACGTACTGCACAATAGATCGAACTCAATTTTTTTCAACAAAAGATAGTATAACAATAATAAATAAAATTATTAACATATTAAATATAATTTTAATACAAGTTATTATGATTATTTAGGAAAATTTTGTTAATCGAACCAAATAAATCAATTAATTACAGTAGTCTACTTTATACATCATTACGTTGCACTTTATAAAACAACACGTTGCATTTTACAAAACGACACGTTGCACTTTAACACACTATCAGATTGCACAATAGAAAACGAAACCAACCAACTTTCAACCTAAAATAATATAAAATAATAAATAAAATTAGTAACATATTAGACAAAATTTTGAGATAAATAACAAAAAATCAATTATTTGAGATAATTCGGTTAACCGAACTGAATATATTAATTAAATTATGTTTGTTTTCAATTTGAATTGGGACAAACGTTCGGATAGTTCGATATGCACAATACATACCGAGACCGTGCACTATAGTGTTGTACTAATTGCACTTTAATAACTGATATATTGCACAATATACTTTATTTACGTATATACTAAATTTTTTAATAAAATAATAATATAAAATAGTAATTAAAAAATATAAAATACTAATAATAAACTTTATGAAAATTTAAGTAGAAATAACCATACATATATAGTTAAAATTAATTAGCAACATTCTATATTTAACAAATTTTTAGAAAATTATATAATTAATCACCAATTATATTATCATCATCAATTATTCAAAGAAAAGCAAGCAGCAAAGCCACGATTTGGAATTACAGTTTTTTAATTACAAATTAGTCCATGTGGTTTATCTAATTTACATCAAAAAAACCCCACAAATCACTTTCCAAGAAACTGAATGAATGAACTCAATCAAACATTTTTTTTTTCTGGCCCTCCATCCCCTACAGCACACCACACGGCCGTCTATCTGGCCAACGCCGTCGCCGCCGTACCGTACCATTTACCGGCAAGCAGGTCCAAATTTCTCCTCAACCAACACCCAGCCGTCAATGTCGCCGTCATCCCGCCCCAACAGCCGCCGTCCCCCTCCATGAGTCAGCCTTATCCTCCACCTCGTAGGGCTCCTCACCGGAGCTTCTTGAGGAGAAAGAGACGGGAGAGGCGACGGTGGTCGTCGGCTGTGCAGGCGCGGCAGAGCACCGCCCATTCAGATCGGAGCAGCGGCCGAAGGGCGACGCCGGGAATTGCAACCACTATGAAGGCCCGGATGGAGGCATGGCGGAGGCACGCACGGCGGCATGGCGGAGGCACGCTTGGATCCACAGCGGATGCACTATCGGAGCAATCTCCTGAATCTCGGTAGTCTCAGGCGGGCGGTGGAGAAATGGCAGAGACACGCCGGAGATATGGCGGAGATCGACGGAGGTATGACTGACGCCGCTGAAGGCCGGCGAAGGTACGGCTGAAGCCGGTGGAGACACGGCGGCGATCTCCGGC